AACCCGAGTGGACCATCGGGCGGAGAAGAGGTGCGGACCGGGGGTGGGGGGGAGAACCGGGGCCGGGGGCCGGGAGCCGGGCGAGACTGTTCCCCAGGCGGTGGGAGGCCCCTGGGCGGGGCCCACTGTGCTTTCTAGTTTTTCCTGTGAGAGCTGCAGTTTATTCACTTATCGTTCCGCCGGGTCACTTCTCAGTGCTTCCTGCAGATTATTTAATTCTCATTACAACTTTATGGAGTAGGTGCATTGACTTAAGCTGCCCCGGGTATTAGAATGCAGTCTTCTCAAGTTCATGACTGCAGGAAGCATCTTCTCCGACCTCCATGGGATGAGATTGAAGTCAGTAACAGAACATTGCAAAATTCAGTGTGGAAATTAAACAACACACGTAAACAACCAATGGGCCCCAAAAGAAATCACAAGGGAAATTGGAAAATACCTTGAAATGAATGAAAATGAAAGTGTAATCTGCCAAAATTTACAGGATGCAGCCGAAGCAGTGCTCAGGGGGAAATTTATAGCCTGTAGGTGGCTACATTGAAAACCATCTCAAGTCCCAGTTTATAGAACAGAGCTGCTCAGATATTCGTTGATTGAATGAGCCTGGGACGCTGGGACGGACAAAGTCTGGCAGCTAGGTGGGAAAGGGTGGTCACCCTCCACTCTTAACTGCCTCTAAACTCCTAAGTGGCCATCCCTTGTAGCTTTCCTACAGGGAGAGAAGTGCACTGGTCCAGTCAACAAAATGTATTTTGTCTGAAAGTTAAGAAATCATCTCTATGATTTTGTATATTTTTAAATTTTTTTTTTAAATTTTTTTTCAACGTTTTTTTATTTATTTTTGGGACAGAGAGAGACAGAGCATGAACGGGGGAGGGTCAGAGAGAGAGGGAGACACAGAATCGGAAACAGGCTCCAGGCTCTGAGCCATCAGCCCAGAGCCCGACGCGGGGCTCGAACTCACGGAGCGCGAGATCGTGACCTGGCTGAAGTCGGACGCTTAACCGACTGCGCCACCCAGGCGCCCCTAATTTTTTTTTTTTTTTTTAATTCCAGTGCAGTTGGCATAGGATGTTTAGTTTCAGGTGTAAAATATAGTGATCCAACGATTTTGTACGTTACTCAGTGCTCATCACCGGAAGTGGGTTCCTCGATCCCCATCACCTAGTTCCCCCAGCCCCCACCCACTGCCCCTCTGGTGACCAGCAGTGGTTAAGAGTCTATTTTTTTGTTTCTGACTTTATATTGTAAAAAAGGGAGAATGTGAAAGTTTGTTGAAAAGCAAGTATTTTTTTCTAGGTTAACTATACTGGAATTAAAAAAAGGCTAAGTAGTGCTCGCTTTGGCCGCACATATACTAAAAAAAGGCTAAGTACTATGATAAAAAAATAAGATGAGGATAATAGAATAAAATAAAAGCAATTATGTTTTGGTTTTATTTTACCCCTAATGATGTACCTGCACCTGGTTTTGTTGTTGTTGTTTTGGTAGTCTTAAATCCCAATATCAAGTTAGAGGTTTTTTTTGTTTTGTTTACAATTTTGAATGTATTTACATGTCCTTGGAAAGTTTTGGAAAATGCATTAATTGCTTTTTTTTTATTTTTTTTTAAATGTTTATTTATTTTTGAGAGAGAGAGAAAGAGAGAGAAAGAGCTAGAGAGAGAGGGAGACACAGAATATGAAGTAGGCTCCAGGCTCCCAGCTGTCAGCACAGAGCCCGATGTGGGGCTTGAACTCACGAACTGTGAGATCATGAGCTGAGCCACCCAGGCGTCCCTAATTACTTTTAATTGAGGTAATAGGAAATTTGGTGAAGAGCTTCTTTGGTCTGGACTAAGGACTTTGTACCTCCTTTGTACATCCTTCCTAGAGTTCCTGAAGGATAATTGAGATCAAATGTGGGAAATGCTTAAAGGAGCCTGGCTTAGAGTTAGCAAATAACATTAACCATTATTATTACAACACAGTATTATATATCATTTTACATGTTAATACGAGGAGCAAAAAGGGGTTGTTGAATTAATCTTAAAAAGAAGACCTTTTGGTGAATGTATTGAGCTCTCCGGGGAAATAAAAGTTGCCCTGTTGGTCTGCTCAGGCTGCTATAACAAAACACTACAGACCAGGAAGCTTAAGGAACAGAAATTTATTTTTCACAGTCGTTAAGTGCAAGAAGTCCAAGATTAAGGTGCTAGTCAGTTTGTTTCTTGCTGAGTCTTTGTCCTGGATTGTAGACTTCCTCATCCTCACAGGCCACACACAACGTTGGTGTCTCTTCCACTTCCTTCTCTTATAAGGGCATCAGTCCTAGTGATTTCATTTAACCTTTATTCTTCCTTACAGGCCCTGTCCTTACAGTCATATTGGGGTTCAGTCATAAAGGGGTTCCCTTTAACATGGGAATTTGGGGGAGACACAAACATTCCTTAAGAGTTGTAGAACATGGTTATACTTATTTTAAAACAGTAGTGTGCCTGCTATATATAAGGCATTATTCCGAGGATAAAGGCAGAGCTGAGTTGACCTGTGTTTCCCAGGGAGCTCCCCATCCTCGGGGAGTGGGAGCAGTGTGCACCAGCCATGTGACAGATTTAACCAAGTGAATGACATACAGGGCAGATGCCAAGAATAGAACTTAGCACGAGTATCTTGGATCCAAATTAGAAAGCTCATGTTCTTGGTGTGGAGAAGCTTGTTAAAATCCCATCCCAGTGGCACGGTCACTAGGGCTAGGTCTGGGGCTGCAAAGAAACTGCCCTGCTTCTTGTGCCCAGTACGCTGGGAAGATCCTGAGCATAGGGGAAATTGACCCTGGGTAAATGTAGCAAAGCACTTCCCATAATATAAAACGTGCAAAGAAGATTTCTACTACTTGAGGTTTAGGGAGGTGTAGTTCACATATGGTAAAATTCATCCCGTTATAGGTGTTGAGTGAGTGTTGAGAAATGGAATCAACACTGCAGTCCGGTGCAGAACATTTCCATCACCCCAGAAAGTTCCCTGGTGGTCCTTTGGATCAGCCCCCTCCTCTCACCCCTAGCTCTGGCAGCCATCTGTCTAATTTCTATCCCTGTCATTCTGCCTTTCCAGAATGTCACCTAAGTGGAATCACACAATATTCCACCATAGTCTGTGTATGGCTTCTTTTCTCTGACATAATCCTTTTGAGATTCATTTTAGGCTGTTTTGTGTTTCAGTAATGTATTTCTGTTTGATGCTGTGTAGTAGTCCACTGTTTGGATGTACCACAGTTTGTTTTTTTCCCCACAGTTTGTTTTTTAATTCACCACCAGTTGATGGACACTTACTTATATTGCTTCCCGTTTTTACTTATTAAAAATAAAGCTATAAACCTTAGTAGCTATAGTATAAATGTCTTATAAGCAAATTCATGATTAGATAGTAAAAACTCCTGAAAACTTTTATTCCTCTGGTTTAAGGAGAGAACACAGTATTGAAGGATTTCCCCCTTGCATTTAATGAGGATATAATGACTGTATTCAGATCATTGTGTGTAGATGCATCCACCTTCTGTTTTAAATTTTCTCAAGCGTGTTCATGTGTCTGTAACTTGCTCAGTCATGTTTTCTGAGTCTTGGTCCTCGCTTCAATTTTGTGATGATTTATGAAACCTTAGATTACACGGAAAAGAAATTAAGGACTGACTTAAGATGAAGAATTACTTAACTAAGCCCCTTAGTTTTTTTAAACTTCTGCTTTTATCAGGGTAGCTGCACATATGTGCATGTTGTAAAATTGTCACCAAGAAGCCAGAGGTGTTGATGGGGGTATCCTCTAGGTAATGGGGAGTCAGAAAGGTTCAAGACAGTCACTGTCTCTTTACTTTGGATTAATACATAAATGCTTTTTAAAAAATTGCTTCCTATCTTACTTGATTAGGTTGTCTCCCACCGTGCATATACCATGGGTCCTGATTTTCAACCACGTGCTTTGATTAAGCAAAGGGCACTTTTGTGCACAGTCCCCACGGTCACATCCAATGTATCCCTCTCTATTTTAGGTTGTGATCTTTCATTCCCTGGCAATAAACTGGTCTCTGGAGATCACTGTAAAATTATCGTGGATGAAAAATCTGGTCAGGTGTCGCTGGAAGATACCAGGTAATCTCTTTCTTGTCTTGAAGCCGGTGGCTACAGAGAAGAAACGAGGGATCATTTTCTGTTAACACAGTAGTTCGCTAGTTTCCAGGTTATTAGGAAATATATTTTCTGGTTTCCAGTAACTCTTTCATGTCTATGATGCTTCTTGAATATATTCAAATTAAAGCAAAAATATCTCTGAAAAAGGACTTAAAAGGCAGTGATAACCTTCTAGTTGCAAACCTATTCGAATTAGACTTTTTTCCTCCAAATCAAAAAAACCTTTTCTTTTTAAAAAATTGTTACACAACATAAGGAGTAGGTAAAAGTGAAAAGCTTTGCCAAATCCTACTAGCCCACTAGAAATTCGTACGTGTTTATTTTGTATTAAGGAGGTTTTACTATGTACGTTGTATCCTTTTTTTTTTTTCACTTTTATTTATGGCGAGCTTACATTTGGTACATCTAGATTTATCTTGTCTATTTCATTATTATTTTGTAATAACTTACCTGTCAGTTCCTTTATTGGTGGAGATTTATTATTTTGACTTTTTCTTATTATAAACAACGCTGCGACTCTTCTCTTCCAAAACGCTTTGCATTCATGTCTGATTATTTTCTTGGGATGAATTCATAGGAAGGAACGCTGTGTTAGAATGTGCCTATTTTAAACCCAGGACAAGTAGCAGATGGCCTTCCAGCAGTACGTTGAGAATATGCCTTTCCCAACCAGATGAATTTTTGTTTTTGTGAAGGTCAAGTGCTACGAGATTGTTTGGTAACTACAATGTTAGGGATGAAAGACTAGAAATTAGGTTTATGAGGATGAACTGATGCTCCTTTCCTATTCTGGTATGTAGCAGATCAAGTTCCTTATTTCCCAGCCCAACGTAGGATAACGTAGCACTGGTTCTAGAGTTGTCCTCAGATCCTGAGTTGTCCAGCAGATCCTGGCTTTCCAATGCTGGCTGTATGACTATATTGGCTTCTTGGGGCTCTTGTAACAAATTACCACAAACTCAGTGGCTTCAAAGCACGCAAAGCTACGACCTTCTAGTGCTGAATGTACAAAGTCTCACCCAGGTCTCATTGGATTAACCAAATCAAGGTGTCAGCAGGGCCGGCTCCTTCTGGAGGCTCTAGGGGAGAATCCGTTCCCCGGCTTTTCCAGCTTCTAGAGGCTCCTGCGTTCCTTGGCTGAGGTGCCTGGAGGGGAGAGGGTGTCCATTCTTCACACGGGCAGCAGGAACTGCAGGTGCAGAGGCCCCGAGGCGCGAGCAGGCCCTGTGTGCCGAGGAGCAGTGAGTGGGAAGGCAGGGAAGTTAGACCGGAGCGGGAAGGCCCTGGTGTTCACACTAGGGAGCCTGGACTTTAGCTCGAGAGCAGTGACAGGTCATCGGGGGTTTGAGCAGAAGAGCAAAGTCGGGCTTCTGTGGTTACAAAGAGCACGAGAGTGGAGTGCGGAGGGCCCTGGCAGCACAGGCTCTGGCTGGCTGTGGCGGCACCACCAGTGTTTGTACGTGAGGTTTCGCTGGGACACGGCCACTCTCTCGACTACATCCTGTGTGCGGCTGCTCTCGTGTGTCAGCGGCAGAGCCCAGGAGTTGGGACAGAGACCGTGTGACCGTACAGCCTGAACTGCTTACTTTCTGGCCCTTTCCAGAACACTGAAGGAGTAGAAGTCTGCTCAGATGTAAAAATAAAGCCTCTTCACCACCGGAGGCCTTAGGTGTGAAACCATAGAGTTAAGACATGGGTGGTTCGAACGCCTGAAGCTGGGTCAGTTTGTTTAGTTGCTGACTTTTGTTCTTGTCTCGTACACTGTTCGTCCACTTGTGATTTTCTGTTGGGTCTCTACTCGGGTTTCTCCTCAGGGAAGCGCTTCCAGTCCCGTCTGACTTAGGCTCCCGCCTGTGCCCTCTGCAGCCCCCGCCTCTTCCATCTGGTGGTGTGGTCCCTGACGGACTGGAGTGACCTCCCGACCGAGGGACCACACCATCTTCCGGCCCAGAGCCTCGAATTCATTTGCTTCTGCTCAGAACCCATCTTTTAAGGGTGTCAGTGCCCATCTGAGGGATGAGCTGGCCTGCTGGGAGGGAAGCGTAGATGAGTGGACAGAGCTAAGTGCAGAAGCCGGGGGAAGCTGGAAATCGGAGCTGCTGGTAGAAGTCCAGGGTCCTCCAGAGGCCGGCAGAGGACAGACGATGTGCTGTTGGACAAGCAGAAATGTTGAAGCACGGTCAGGCTGTCAGTAAGGGGGCAGCAGGCAAGCTTTCTCTCAGGAGAACTGTAGGGTGGCACTTGCACATGTGCCTCGTTACGTTTACGTCATTCTTGGGAGTATTTTACATTTTCGAAGGCGTAATATTGAACTTCTTTTTAAGTGGTGGTAGAAAAAGAAAATTTTAACTCCCAAGTTATTGTAAGTAGGATAAATTGCATTTTTGTTGTCTCTGCAGCACCAATGGAACAGTAATTAACAAGCTGAAGGTTGTTAAGAAGCAGACTTGTCCTTTGCAGACTGGGGATGTCATCTACTTGGTGTATAGGAAGAATGAGCCAGAATACAGTAAGAGAGGGAATGTACAGGGTGGGCCTCGGGTGGTGTATGGTGGGGAAGTCTGGTCACAGCTGGAAATCTTCGTGAAAGTGAGTCTGCTGAAGCAGGTATTTCCCTTCAGACTGTTAGTGTTAGCTACATTTTCTTTGTTCTTTATGGAGACTCTTTTTTTTTTTTTTTAAGGTTTATTTATTTTTGAGAGAGAGCACAAGCAGGGAAGGGGCAGAGAGAGAGGGAGGCACAGGATGTGAAGCAGGCTCCAGGCTCTGAGCCGTCAGCACAGAACCCGACGTGGGGCTCGAACCCATGAACCGTGAGATCATGACCTGAGCTGAAGTCGGACGCTCAGCTGCCTGAGCCACCCGGGCTCCCCTTTATGTAGATTCTTGGTGTGAGTCCTCAAGAGTGGGAGTGTTGACCTTGCACTGTGAGCCCCGGCCATTCTTCACAAATACCACAATGCTCATGAGTCTTGCATTTCAAAATGGCAAGGAGAAGTGAACAGGGATGGGCTGGGTTACATAGCAGAAGATAATCTGAGTTGTGGGGAGGAAGACCTAGAATAAGGGGCTGAAGGCCACTCATGACTGCTTTTGGAGACTTTACAGGAGACAACAGAGGCCTGACGATCCCCTTCAGGCTTTCCCAGATCTGAGTGTCTATGTTTGGGGAAGAAGAACGAAACAGGACAAGGAGAGTTGGGAGAGTTTTTGGAAGGTTACTCCCAAACTGGCAGGAGGAGGCAGATACGCTCAGGCTGTCTGTAGCATTGTCAAGGCCAGCCCCTGGCCCCGTGGCAGGGCCTTGTGTCTTCTCCTTCCGGTGGTTTGAAATGACCGGCAAAGCACAGATTCATTATCTACTCATCGTTTTCTCTTCCCCGCGTCTGCCTTCTGGCTCAGGACGTTTTTTCCCAGAGGCTTATTTATTTTAAAGTTGGTGAAGATGCTTTGGTTCGCTTATTTTGAAATTCCTTAAACTGGGTAGTGTTGTCAGTAGCTGGTAAGTCAACATAGTCAACAACGACAAAGGGACCGAAGTGACAGAAAGGAGAAGAGGGAAGGAGCCCTGCTGGTACGTGAGGACACTGTTCTGATCTGCTTGGTTTCATTTCAGACGTGGCATACCTCTACGAGTCTCTGCATGAAAAGCAAGGCATCACACAAGACCCCTTTGGTAAGTGAGACTGTGACAGAGGAGTGGGTGCGTGGTAAGGGCTGCTGATTCTTACTGGCAAAGCCTTTTCATCTGCTGGAAAGTCCTGCCTGAGGTAGTGGTGCTCCTCCTGAGCCCTGACTCTACACTCCTTCTGCTCCTGTTGTGCTCACAGAAGCTAATAAAGAGAATGTGTTCCACGTGACCAAAGATACCTCAGGTGCAGGGCAAGGTGACGATCCCCAGGTCCTGCCGTCATCGCCCACCACTCAGGCGTGCTTTGAGGAACCACAGCCATCGACGTCGACCTCGGACCTCTTCCCCACGGCCTCTACCTCTTCCACGGAGCCCACCTCTGCGGGGCAAGCGCCTCCCTTCAGCCCTGGTGAGATGGGGGTCTCAGAGTGGTAGCTGCGTTGCTCTTCAGTCACTGACTCTGACCTGTGTTGTCACATAAGCCACTAAGGAAGTCAGAGGTGACATCAGGCATCGGGCTCTCAGCAGGATTTCTGTACTAGTAAATATTGTTTTCTTCCACCCCCGATAGAAATGCTGAAGGTCGGAGATTTCCTGGGATTTTTATAGTTTTACTGGGATATAACTCACCTGCCATAAAAATCACCCAGGCGAAGTGTACACTTCAGGGGTTTTTACTATATTCATACTGCTGTGTGATTCCAGAACATATCATATCATAAACAGTCACTGCTCTCCCTCGGCAACCACTGATCTGCATTCTGTCTCTGTGGTTTTGCCTGTTCTGGACATTTTATAGAATCGGAATCATGGGGCGCCTAGGTGGCTCAAGTCGGTTAAGCATCCGACTTAGCTCAGGCCATGATCTCACGGTTTGTGAGTTGGAGCCCCACGTTGGGCTCTGTGCTGGCAGCTCAGAGCCTGGAGCCTGCTTCAGATTCTGTGTCTCCCTCTCTCTGCCCCTCCCCTACTCGAGCTCTGTCTCAGAAATGAATAAACATTAAAAAATTTTTTAAGTAGTAAGAATTGGAATCCTATACTCTGTGGCCTTTTGTGTCTTCTGTTTTCACTGAGCATCATGTTTTCAAGACTCATCTAGAGTAACCTATAATTAACATTTTTTTCATATTTATTTATTTATTTTGATAGAGCACGAGCAGGGAGTGGCAGAGAGAGAGGGAGACAGAGAGTACCAAGCAGGCTCCCCACTGTCAGTGTGCAGAGCTCAATGTGGGGTTCGAACCCACGAACTGTGAGATCATAACCTGAGCCCTAATCAGGAGTCAGACAGTTAAGCAACTGAACCACCCAGGCACCCGTCGACACTTTTAGAAATACAAAATAATGAATGTGAACAAGTCCATGTAACATTATTAAAGGACTAAAAAAAATTTGACACTGGCCGCAGAAAAAATATGCAGATAAATAAAGTATAACGGTCCAAGCGTGTAAGAATTTAGCAATGAATATGGCAGTTCAAAGCCACGAGCAAAACTGGGTTGTTTAATGAGAGAAGTGATTAACATTTGAAAGAAAATAAAGGTGGTTTTGTCCCTCATCCATTACAACAAACTACTTCAAGATGGGTTTGAATGTAAACCACAATAGTGCCTGATGAAAACAAAGGTGATTATTTATATAATTTGGGGGAATTTTTCTTTATACGTGATACAAAGGCAAAAACCACAATTAAAAAAAAAACAGTCAATGGGGGCGCCTGGATGTCTCAGTCGGTTAAGGGTCATAATCTCTCGGTTCGTGGGTTCGGGCCCCATATCAGGCTCCATGCTTGCAGCATGGAGCCTGCTTCCGATCCTCTGTCCGCTCTCTCTCTGCCCGATCCTCTGTCCGCTCTCTCTCTGCCCCTCCTCCGCTCTCTCTCTCTCTCAAAAATAAACATTTAAAGAGCACGTGAGCAGGGGAAGAGCAGAGAGAGAGGGAGACACAGAACCCAAAGCAGGCTCCAGGCTCCAAGCTGTCAGCACAGAGCCCGACACGGGGCTCGAACCCACAAACTGTGAGATCATGACCTGAGCCGAAGTCGGGTGCCCAACCGACTGAGCCACCCAGGCACCCCAAAAATAAACATTTAAAAAATAATTAAAAATAAAAAGTCAATTGGGGGCACCTGGGTGGCTCAGTCGGTTAAGCGTCCGACTTCAGCTCAGGTCACGATCTCGTGGTTTGTGGGCTCGAGCCCCATGTCGGGCTCTGTGCTGACAGCTCAGAGCCTGGAGCCTGCTCCTGATTCTGTGTCTCCCTCTCTCTCTGCCCCTCCCCTGCTCATTCTCTGTCTCTCTCTGTCTCTCAAAAATAAATAAATGTAAAAGAAAAATTAAAAAAAATAAGTCAATAAATCCAACCATTAAAAAAATTTAGGAGTGCCTGTGTGGCTTAGTCAGTTAAGTGTCTGACTTTGGCTCAGGTCGTGATCTCACAGTTCGTGGTTCAAACCCCACATCAGGCTCTGTGCTGACAGCTCAGAGCCTAGAGTCTGCTTCAGATTCTGTGTTTCCCTCTCTCTTTTCCTCTCCCCTGCTTGCACTCTGATTTTCTTTTTCTCAAAAATAAATAAACATTAAAAAAAATTAAAACAAAAATTCTCTCACCCCTTCTTTGCCCCTCCCCTACTCGTGCATGCTCTCTCTCAAAACAAAACAAAACAAAAAAAGATTTTAAAAATAGAACGACCATTTGGTCCAGTAACCTTACTCCTGGATATATATCCAGAGGCATTGAAATCACTGTCTCCAAGAGATGTCTGCACCCCATGTTCATTGCAGACTATTCACAAAGGCCAAAGACTTGGAAACAACCTAAATGTCCCTCGATGGATGGATGGATAAAGAAAATGTGACTTGTGTCTGTGTATGCACACAATTGTTGATTCCACCGTGAAAGGGCAGTGTGTTTATATATTGTGCAATTAACAAATAAAAGCTTAAACAAAATCTTGCTGTAAGCAAATCCGATGGAAAGCTTGCCTCCCATTGTGTAATGTTGGGGAAATTTTTCTATCTGCATGCCTCAGTGTATACATACTAACAAAATAACCAGCCTCCTAAATGTGAGGTTTGGTGCCAACTTATTTCATAAGTTTCAGATGAATCCTCACCCTTTGTCTGTCGGAGAGTACCATCATCATCATCTTCATTCTGGAGTGAGAAGCTCGACTGAGCATAGAAAGTCCTTGAGACCATGGTGGGAGTGAGAACCAGAGCCAGCAGCCAGCCCAGGAAGCTCCCTCTTTTCTCCCTTTGCTGTATGAGCTGATTTGCTCCCCAAACAATTTTACTAACTTCTTTTGTTTGGCTGCTGTAGGGCAGTTTCTTTTTCAAAGTAACAACACTTGAGTATTATAGACCGGATATGTACTGTAGTATGGTGTTACACACTAGGTCTTGATTAAGATAAAGGTTATTAGAAAGTCTCCTTAACCTTTCTGCCAGGCTCGTTTAAATTCGTGACTCCTTGGGAAATAGTTCACACGCAGCATCCCTGTCTGGCTTCCATCTCCTTGTAATCTGAAGCCTGCTGCGTCCCTCTCCTGAGAGGCCTGTGTGTCCCTCTGTGCCAGTGCTGCTCAGAGCACAGGGAATGTTATGGGGCCGCTAGCACACGGATTGGCCCTGTCTTAGACCAAATGTCCCACAGCTGACCCCGGCACCGCCACCCCGGTCACAGACACCTCTGCGTTTCTTTCCCAGTGGCTGTGCTGCTGGCCCAGCTCCCCCGAGCCCAGTAGTGGGCGCGTGTGCACCTCAGAAGTGTGAGCCGAGTGTTTCTGTAAGCGTGTATTACTGAGAATACGGCATCTTGGAACACCTAGGCCTGGTTTGAATCTGTGGTGGTTTACCTGCCGTACCCTCTGCTTCCAGGCTGCACGAATCAGAACTTTTCTTGTTGGGGCGCCTGCGTGGCTCAGCTGTTAGGCATCCAGCTCTTGATTTCGACTCAGGTCAAGATCCCAGGGTTGTGGGATCTAGCCCTGTGTTGGGCTGAGCATGGAGCCTGCTTGAGATTCTTTGTCTCTCCCTCTGCCGCTCTCCCCCGCTGACGTTCTCTCTCTCTCTCTCTCTCTCTCAAATTAAAAAATAAACCTGTCTTGTTTGTCCCTCTCACAGACTTCAGAGATGCAGGCGTCTCCCCAAAAGAATGTGGTCCGTCTGTGGCAAATGATGAAATCCCCACCTTCCCTTCGGCTCTCCCAGACAGAGAAGGAGCACCCTTCTCTCTGCCAGGGTCCCGGGACCAAGAGGATTTGGAGCCTGTCACGAAGAGAATGAAAGCAGGTCAGAGTCTCACCGTTTTGTGTATCTCTGGCCCTTGAGAGCTGTTGAGCTGCTCCTGATGGGGCCTCCCCTTCTGTGGAAGCGGATGCCTCCGCATTTTCAAAATGGCAATGTGAGCCTTTTTTTCCTTTTGACAGCATCGGGGTTGAACCCTATTTATTATCTGGTTATGCTGATGGTCTGGAAGCAGTGCATTCTGAGTTGCAGTTCTGTCTTGATATGACTATCGGTTTTTAAGAATATGCACCTGGGTGGCCTAGTCGGTTAGGTGTCCAACTGTGGCTCAGGTCATGATCTCACGGTTGGTGGGTTCGAGCCCCGCATGGGGCTCCCTGCTGGTAGCACAGAGCCCACTTTGGGTCCTCCGTCCCCCCGCCCCGCCCCTGCTTGTGCATGCGTGCTCTCTCTCAAAGTAATAATGATTTGAAAAAAGAAAGGTGACTTAGAGAAAAATCTGCCCTTAAAAAGCCAAAGTTAAAAGGATTGTAAAAGATACTTGGGAACATGTAATGGGACAGTGGCTGTGCTGTAGGCCTGAGAGCAGCCTGCGGTTGGAGCAGTGAGGCCGGGGGGCTCTGGGAGGGAGGGCAGGCCTCAGGGAAGGAGACGAGGATATTGGATGTGTTGAGTGGAAAATTGAAGCGACTGGCTTGAGGAGGGTGTCGAAAAAAATCAGCAACAGTACGTAAAAAAGTAGGTATACAAATGAGGCCTTTTTTTTACTCTAGCAAAAATGAAAAATTGTAGAAGGAAGAAAAATTAATTTTGGTGTACTGTTTGGCTCAGCAGTGAATATTTACCTAAGCATAGTAACGTAAATACGATGCATGGAACTAACAAATACAATATACCAAACTAACAATTGTGTTACGATAATATGGTGAATGGGGCCAGGGGGCAGAATCCTTCTCTATCTGAATAGATGTCGGGAGATGGACGGTGTCTAAAGTCAGTCAGCCTCAACAGAGCATTACAGTTCAGAAACCTGGAGGTCCACGCCAGGAGAAACACCCAAAAACATGAAAGTAGTTTCCTCAGAGGAGGGAGGTTGGAGGTGAGGACAGGCCAGGGCAGAGGGCTAGTGCCCTCTTAATATTTGATTTTGTAAATTGTGTGCAAGTATTTCTTTTGTTAAAAATAAAAATTAATCTATGAGCACTATAGAACACCAGCAGAAGAAAAGGAAAAAAAGAAGTTAAAAGCTCTTGGTAACGTCGGAGAGTCTATATTTTCCAGGACATACACAAGTCATGTTTTTTGTATAAACAAAAACGATGATTATACACAAATATTGTGTGACAAGCCACCTTAATCTTTTAACCATGTATCCCGAATGCTTCTTTTTATGCCATTGTTCTTCTAAACCAAAACTTAAGGGTACTGGAACTTGGGACTTACTTTAGGCCTTCTTTAAAATACAAACAGGGGTGCCTGGGTGGTTCAGTCCGTTCTGCGTCCAACTTCGGTTCAGGTCATGATCTCACCACTCTTCGGCTTGAGTCCCATGTCAGGCTCCACACTCTGAGCACAGAGCTTGCTTGGGGGGCGGGGAGAACGAGAGCGGTGGGGGGCTCTCTCTCTCTCTCCTCTCTCTCGCTCGCTCTCCTT